CCTGGGGGTACAATTTTAAGACCTTGTGTTTTAGACAATGAGAGACCTGCTTCTAATTCTTTTTAAGTTAGTGATGAATCTGCCAAGTGATGCTTATTTGAAAGCTGTCAGCTAGTGAATTATGGGTTATAATTATATATGATTATATCTATATATGTTATGTATATAATCTGTATATGTTGTTCACTGAATCAAGTAAGAAACCAAAAAGCCTAGAACATTTTGGGTTACTTCTTCCTCTCCAGGAGTACAAGTTAGGTTTGGAAAGGTCAGGGAATGGGAAAGGCTCAGTGACAGTCCGGCCCTAAGTTGACTCCTGGAGTCTTTTATTGCAAAGCTCTTGGAGTTTCCTATGGGAGCCAGATTTTGAAAATTGCTTCAGTATACTGTAAAGTTTCTGACTTACACTGTAAGATGGTTTTCAGTTTCTGATTTCCACTGTAAGATGAGGGAAGTACTCTTACCTTTCATTGCTTCACAAGGTGGAGAAATCTTAAGCAGTTGAGCGTTAAGTGAGAAAGCTCTTTGTGCCTCCCAAAAGGAGAAAAGAATATTAGTCTGAGATGATAATACAGAGTCTTCCAAAGTGAGAGGGGAAATACCAGAGACTCTTGTGATTATTTGGCTATGGATGTAGTCTCTGTTCATGAGCCTGTAAGAACAAGTAGACCAAGCATTTCAGAATATGTCAACCCAGGATGACATATCAGAGCAGATGAAATATTCGAAGACCTATGAACCTATAAAATGTTTTCAGAGAAAATGCGTGAGTTTTCCAGAATGGCAAAATTTAATATTTTCATTTTTTAGAAGAGTTGATTAGCCATGAAAATGAATAGAAATATTGGTAGTTTTCCTTTTTATCAATAATCCTCCTTCCCTCTTGCACCTATCATTTGGTTTGGTCACTTAGAATGGGTTGGTCATAGGATATTTGAGTACATAAACCTCTGTTAAGTAAGTTAGAAGAGTGAAAAGTAAATTTTGTAGAAATTGTATCAAGTAAAAAACTCCAAGTCTTCTTTTCTGTAGAGTCCCATGACCAACTGTTTTTCCCATAGTGACCTTTTCTTTACCATAACTGTACTGTCAAGTCCTGGGACGTTGAAAATATTAATATTTGCTGCTGGCAAGTAATGCCAATGTCTGTTACTACCTGGAGTGGGATCTGTCGTGTTTCCATAACCCCATGTGGCTTTGGGCCAAAGTGCTCTGACTGAACCCTTACTTCACTTCAAAAGAAAGAGAAAGGAACCCTTCTTAATACTGTTGCTTGCCACTGAAATACTCCCTCACAGACCCATGCGCATAAATCCTCTACAGCCTTCAGGACTCAGACCAAGGGTTATCTTCTCCAAGAAACCTTTTTTTGCCTACTTCTGTAAGCGCCTGCCTCCTCAAACTTTTATTTCCTTATCATGAGGAATGCCTGCAGTGTAGCTCTTAACAGTACACTGTTTGCATCTGTTGTGGGTTGGGCTTGGATACAGCACTGTCTTCCCCCACCCTCCCACTGCCTCAGGGCCTCTGACCGTGCTGGTCACTGTGCCACTTAGAAGTCGGCTGCTAGGTAGCTAAGGCATTCTTACCACCCGGGAGGTATGTTAGAACAGCTGAGAACTTGGTCATAGGACCACATTCTCAGGGTTGTGTTACTTGTAAACTGTCCAACTCCAGGGAGCAGCAGGTAGGCCATGAAGAGTATGTCATCCACTGGGTGCACAATATGGCAGCCCTGTGTATCCTCTTGGGTCTGTAGGTGACCTGTGTGTTCACATTACAGCATGACACTAGTCTGGAGAATCTTTTCCTGCCTCCTTTCAGATTTGTGTCAGTTTCGATGGGATTTTAAAAATTCATAAGGAGTGAATCCAACCCTTCCATACCTTTCTAGGAAATTGTTTTTCAGAATGAGGTCCTGGACCTTTGTATCTGAAGAACTTGGGATACTGGATAAAGTAGAGATTTCATCCCCTCAATAGACTTGACTCAGCCTAGGAGCGGGGCTGCAACTTAAAGCTTTAACAAACAAGACTGATGATTCTGAAGCAATTCGCTAAAATCTTAGGAAATGATAGTTGAGATAGCTACTCAGAAAGATAGAAACTGTAGTGCTCAGAAAGATAGAAACTGTAGTGCCCCAAAGGGTTAACACCACTGTCCTTAACCTGCTGCACTACTGTAAACCTTTACTGACTCACTTCAACTCATCCACTTAGTGACTGGTTGTTCTCTGTCCACCGCTGTGTCACCCCAGTGCAAGATAGAAGTGAAAAATAGGGTCTTTGCTGTTAAAGTTCTAAGAATCTGAGTGGAAAGAAGAGATACACAATAAATATGCACATGCACACACACGTATCTGCATACATACATATATACTATATAGAGATCATCTTTTTAAAAACATTGTTATCAATAATACAGGTCTGTAAGATCTGATTTTTGCTGCTTGCTTTGTAGAGTTATGTTTTGCAGGTCACATATGACTCTATCCTGAGTGACTAGATTTCAGCGTTTGAGGCATGCATTTTATGAGAGACAAGCTCTATGGGGCAGTGGAAAAGGCTCTCAACTTAGGGTTCAAAGTTGACAGCTTAGAATTCAAGTCAGAGCACTCACTACTAAGCAGTAAATGTTAGTTACTTTAACTATAGGGAAAATAATTAGGGTGAGGCACATTCTAAATATATTTACTAATTTTAGTAACTTAAATAGATTTATATGCATTTATAATTTTAGGTGATATAAATGCTAAAATGGATAACAAATGCCTTAGCTTTATATGCCAATATTTGAGCAATGCCTTCTGTTACTTTCTGTGGAACACTGAAGAAGAAAGAGATCAAGAAAAGGACCTTATTTTTGACAGCTCTCCTTTGATTATTACATTAAAACTTTATTTCACCAGAATACTTGGCAGAAAAATGGCCAGAAAGCCATATTTGTTATATATTATTTCTTTAAAATTTTATTTATAGTAAAAATTATTTTTTCCTTTGATCATATCTTTGTCATTTGAACACCATTTCTCATTATATAATTTATTGGTCTAGATTAGAATACTGTGGGAGCCTTCTTTGGATCCATGTTGGGTCTGCTTCATGCAGAGGCACAGAAGTTTAGACCAGGAAAGGAGCTCCAGATTATCTGGGTTAATATCTGCTTTACCACTGAAGACTTAAGACATCTAGCTGTTAGAACAATACCTGGCACATAGTAAATGCCTAAGAAGTTTTAGCTCCTATTCGTAGCAGAATTTGAACCCAAGTTGTTTGAATTTCAGTATGGTAATTTCTTCTCAGATGTTTTAGAGCTGGAAGAAAACTTACATAGAGCCTCCTCCTACTTAATTTATTTCATTGATGACTTGCATACCCCTCCACCGCCACCACCACACGCACAGACACACACAAAATCCTCTGGGAATCTTTCCTTTTTTATACTTAAAGTATTGTTAATAGTTTCCTTTTTTTCCCCTTCTTAATCTCTTAATTCTTGATTCACTTCATTTTTCTCATGCCCTCCTTTTTCCTAAAAGTGTAAGACAGAATAAATTGAAGGAAATTGAGGGTTGCATTTTAAAACTTTATATTTTATTGTCCTCATCAGGACCGGCCTGAGGTTTTCTGCCACCTTCTGTCATTTATGCCTGGCATAATTCTGATTTTTACTGCCTTCTCTGTGCAGATATATCCCCAGTGTGTATGGGAGTGCTGATGGCAGCACTACTGTTTCTTCATGACAAGACTTTAAAAATTTCTGGAAACTTTAAAAGCATGGAATAAAAACTTGTGGGTGTAATGGGGGTGGAAGTAGGAAATTTGGGGGAAACAGTGAAAACATGTGCCAAAAGTTTTGGCACCCTTAGAAGGCTAAAGAACTTCTTTTTCTTTCTTTAAATAGAGGCAAAGGGAAAAAACAAAGTATCAGGCAGAGTTTGCTCATAAAAATGAGCAGGTGTGGTAGATACATTTAAAGACATGAAAGCCAGGAGAAAATTCATTAATATAATAATAATGTGTGTCTCTCTACCCTCCAAACATACACTTTTGTTGGAAGCAGGAGACTAGTAAAAAAAATAGCCTTAGAAAAGTAAGAAAAATAAGGTTTTTCATATTGTTTTATTTTTTCTGTCAGTCCTCTTACAGTTTGTAGTAGAGGCTCAAAAGAGGTGAAGGGTCAGTACTAGTCCATTGGGTAGCCCATCTTAAAATGGGATAATTTGGACTATTGAGAACTTCTGTCAAGACAAAAATGTGCCATGTAGAGTTAAAATCTCGGGCTGCTGGCTTTCTTCCCATTGCCTCTGTCTAAGTCTGGCTTGATAAACAGTGGACCTTTTAAAGCTCAAATAGAGTCAGTGCTATTGAAATATGTGCTTTCGGATTTGTCTGATTTCTAAATCCTCACCAACTTTTTAATAACTTGATAAAGGACTGTAAGACTTGTGTTGTTACATATACTTTTGTATATGTGTATTTCCTGCCGTGAAATACTGAGCTGTACTCTGTGCCTAGAAAGTCATATTTCTTAAAACAAAACCATATGAGGTGATGATTATGTGGCTTATTACTTTGGTTTGGTTTCCTCCCTCCTCTTAGGGGGTGGGTGGTGTGTGTGTGTGTGTGTGTGTGTGTGTTTCCTCCCTCCTCTTAGGTGTGGGTGTGTGTGTGTGTTTCCTCCCTCCTCTTAGGTGTGGGTGTGTGTGTGTGTTTCCTCCCTCCTCTTAAGTGTGGGTGTGGGTGTGTGTTTCCTCCCTCCTCTTAGGTGTGGGTGTGTCCTGGCCCCCTTTATTTTATTTGGTGGGATTATTAACTTTGATTTCTTGACTGATTTCAAGAGGATTCCAACTTTTATTTCTGCCCTGATTTGATGATCTATGTGTGTTTTCAGAGTTGTTACTTTTTATAAGAAGAAAGTAGCAATCTCCATTTAATAACATGTTATAAGGGGGGACCCAGTTTGCTTTGTTTTAATCAACCTTTCTTTTCTCCTTTCAGAGGACGTTAAGCAAGTTTTTGAACAGACCACAATTCATCAACATATTCCATTTAACTGGGATTCAGAATTTGTGCAACTACATTTTGGAAAAGAAAGAAAAAGACACCTGACATATGCAGAATTCACTCAGTTTTTACTGGTGGGTCTATCTCTTAAAGTGTTGAAAAGAGTACATAAGTAAAACTGGGATCCTGATTTACCTCAAACTTGCTAACTTTGGCCAAACCATCCTATTTGGAAGAATTTATTAGTATGTAGTAACCATAGGATTGACGAGTTCATAAAAACTGAGTAGAACCCTGTCACATTTAAAAGATATACGGGCCCTGTGAAATCATGTGATTTGCTGGAAAGTCATGTGACATAAGTCAGGCAGGCAGAATTGGAACTTGAGTGGTTGGCTTATGACTGGTTCTGCTACTGTTCACCAATATTTTGTTTTCCCTTGAGAAATGGACAGATGTCCTCATAAGGATCTAATTAGTTTCATTTCACCTGAGACCTTTTATAGATAAGCTAGTGGGTGTGGAACTTGACTATGTTGGAATCAGCTGGGGAGCTTTAAAAACTGGTGTTTGGTATTAGATATGACTGGGAATGGGGCAGGGACAGCTTGGGATCCAGGGGCTTCTGCTGTGGCAACCAAGTCTGCAAGTCATTGTTCTCAAGCATGTGCTATGCTTATCCAGGGTTAACTCTGGGGGAGTGGCCTGTGTTTCTGGGGTGCACCCTCGTTGGCCCAGTCTTTCCTGCCTTTCTCTTTCTCCTCCCTTCCCCAGTTCTTGGTATGTCATTGGGCCACTGATGACACCAGTGGAACAGTAGCAACAAGATAGGATTACAAGTGTAGTTTTGCTTCTAAAGCATAATTTTTAAAATGTTTTAATTCCAATATTAGCATTTAGTCACTAGAGGTTCAATATCTATATGATATTAGGTATGTCTGATAAACCACTCTTTTGGATTTTTATACATTCATTTTATATATCTCTAATAACTAAATTTTACTTATATTTTATTAAATATAATATTTAAAAGACTCATTTTAGGCCATTAGCTCACTATGTATAAATTCTGGGTCTTGAGGAACAATTTGCCAGGGAAATCGCCATCTGTGCTCTATCACCAGAAGTGTCACCAGTGGGGTATCTTGGTTCCCCTGCTGCTTCGTGTGCCCAAGGCTTGCAGAGCCTAATGAGGAGTGGTGGGGAAAGGGTTGTGGGCAGAGGCGGAGGGTGCAAGGACACGCACACTTACACCCTGCCATGCGCTCATTAGTCAACATTTGGTGGAACCCATTCTGAGGTACCAGCATATGTAATAGGTTGACTTGAATCACTGCTTCTGTTTTTTACTTTTACTGGTATTGTTACGATATATAAAATTTATCATGTTAGTTTGCTTTTATTTTCTTGGCATTTGAATTTTAGAACAAGATGTTTTAAACGTGCCTTTGTATTTTTTTCAAGCACATTAATGTCTATGAATCCCCATTTTCAGTTCAATATAAACATAAACCTACATAATAACTCAGGTAGAGAATGGGAAGTGAGACGTTGGGTTTTTTTGCTGTTTACAGAAGATGTTGGTGTGCAGTGGGAGATGGTATTCATTTTGATGAGGAATAATTACAATAATGCTATTGAGACAAATGCCTCAAATTGACTTTATGGAACACAGCCTAATTAACTTTTAGTCTTAATGGGATGTCAGCAATAGTGGGGATGATCGTGTTTCCCTTTAAGCAAGTATCAATTATGCTGAATGAGTCCACTGTCAACCCCTCACAGTGGATTCTAGGCCTTCTTCAAGGTAGGGAGAAGCCCGAGTCAAAGGTTACATGACTCAGGGATTACTAATTATGTTTCCAGCTACAACTTATAGGGCATTCACTTATATTTGACTCCATTCTATAACAGTAAATGGAAAAATATCCCACAGTGTCCTGCATGGGACAATTTTGACTTTGTAGCCAAAATGTAAGTGCTAGACTTTTCCTAGATTGAAACGGTTATGGTGGTTACTTATTTTGGTAAGGGCATTGCTTCTGTGCCCCACTGCAGGTCCAGATTTAAAGAAATTAATAGATGTATCATAGTAGACTTTATATGAGTGCCAGTGAAGTACCAGCTCTGTGGTCTACCATTGGGCCCTCCTCCTGTGCATCCTCCCCGCCCCCCCGCCCCATTCACATATTTTGTTTGTTTCTTTCTTTTAAATTCTTTTTTGCATGCAGGTAGAGCTTTAGACCTCTACTTCAGATACTTTGTATGCTTCCTTTGGGCTCTGTTCTGGATGCAGGGAACTTCTTAAGGGCATAAGGTAGCTTAATCTTCAATATTTCAGGCTCTTGCTTTGGCAAGCATGCACCCGCCTTTCTGCTCCAGGGCAGGGCTCAGAAACAGGCACCTGCTCCCTGACTGGCGCCATGGTTATGAAAGCCCATGCTTGGCTGCCTGATATGTGAAAGAATACCACCATGCAGGCCACTGCCTGTCACCTGATGAGGAAGAGGGGCAGCCGTAGGGACAGCTGAGAAGTGCTTGTGCTGTCAAGGAGCCTCCACAGTACAGAGAAACAACACTGCTGTAGACTCCTAAAGGTCCTAGAAGTAGTTCAGCTTGGCTCCAGCCAATTCAGATGTCACATTCGTGTGTTACCTGGGCTTACGTATGTGCACCTGTTTGTGACTGGTGGGCAGTGCCATTCTCTGCAAGGCCAGATCTTTTTTTTTTCTTCATTTAATGTTTTACTATATTTAAGCACGTGTGACTTTGTTACAAGCCTGCACGTGGCTGGGAGGGCTCTGTATGTTCACATGTTTATCTGTGTACTGTTTGCAGAAGCTGCCTGCTCTCTGAATTGTGCTGGTCCTGGGCATTGCTGGAAAGCTTATGTGTCATTTTCTGTGCTTTGGTTTTAAATTCATAACATGGTGAATCAGTTTGATATTCTTCAAGCTAAAGTTGCCTTGTTTGTACTTTGCAGCCAAACAATAGTGTTGAAGCAAGTAGCAGAGATACAGAATCTCCTGCCCAGTCTCGTTCCTTGTTGACAGGGAAGGATATCAGCGGACAGTGGAGTCACAATCCCAATACCTCATTGTTAATACTGCTGGATCTTCTGTTGCTATTTTCTTTTTTTATGCCCAATTTTGTCATCTCCACTTAACTTCATGAGTGTTGGTGTCAGTGTGAATACAGTTCTATATGTGGGTGGGTATGTATGTGTATTTTAAAATATCCTATAAAATATTCTATTTAAAATACTCTCTCCATACATCTCTACTCTCAGCTCCTAGAGTAAAACTCTAATTTTATGGTTGCTAGTTGAAAAATGGATTTTAATATGCTGAATTTTTTAGAAAACAATGTGGAGAAATTTTCCTCTTCCATACCTGATGGAACTCCTGTTCATAAATGGTGTTAACATAAAACTCTCTAAAAATACCCAGTTTAGAAGTATTTCTTGTGCTGAGTATTACTACTCCTGGGGCAAACTACCCAATTTAGCAAATGTTTGCTGAACATGCAGTGTTTGCCCAGAGGCCTTGTGCTAAGGGCCAAGAGGTTCAGTGATAACATCTTGAGACACTTACAAGGTACAATTCTAGGGGTTATTCCTATGTTTATCTGACAGATCAAAGGGCTAAGTACAAGCATGCATAAACCCCATTTTATAGATGAGAAGACTGAGGCCTTTCACTTTAGAGGCTTTTAGCAGTATCTCATTAGGGATTTTGATTTGCATTTCCGTAATGACTAATAATGTTGAGCATCATTTCATATGCTTATTGGCCACTTACATATCTTCTTTGGAGACCTGTCCATTCAAAACTATTGCCCATTTTTTATTGGGTGGATATTGTAGGCAACTGTGAGCACAAAGGGAAATGACTCAAACTTTTCTGCCAAATTACTCTATGGAGACCATAAGAAGAGTCACTCTCAAAAAAAGAAGTAATAATAGTAATGATCTTTATAATTTACGAAGTGCTTTTAACTATTTTATTTCCAATAAGAGCATCCCTCAATATACCATTATCCCCTATAATATGCAAAAGAATAAACAGACTCTAGGGTAAAGTTTTGCATTTAAAGGTAATCTTCAGGGGAAAATGCTCATGGCTTTCATTAGGTTCCCAAAGGAACACCGCTAAAGAGTAGAGCAAAACTGTCCTAGACCTCAGCTCCCTCCATAAGGTCACAGACATGAGAGAATCAGAACTGCTGGTACCACTCTACTACACTGTCTCCAGGGCCACGGCTATGAGCAGTTAGTTTCTCTTGGTGGAAATGGCCTTGCTTCTGAATAGGGGTGTACAAGTCACACATTACTGGCCATCTGGCATTTCTCACCCCCACCCATTTATTGCCAGATGTGATAATAACAAAAGCCCTTAGTAAGGGTGCATATTATGTTATCTCCCTTTACTTTTTGATGTTTTATAATTATAGATATATATTTCACATAAAATTATGACAGTTTAAAAATAGTCTGTGCATAGGAGTTTCTAGTGTCTCCAATCTCAGGATAGAAAAGTTTAGGATTGCTACCAAATGCAACACACTTGTTAGCTAGAAAACACTTTCTCCAAACTGGCTCTCATAGAACAGTTCCCAGTTTAGAAAGTACTTTTACTTATCCTTATAATCACCTTAGGTGTTCAGCAGTTACTATTGTTTCTGTATGAAAGAGAAGCTCTCAGCAGCTTGGAGAAGCTTTCTGGATTTGTTCAAGTTGAGACAGGTAGAATTGAAATTTATTTTTATTTTCCTAAATCTCTAGCAGTGTTTTTCAAATTTTGTATAAAATTTTTCTGAAGTGATTATTTCAAAAGCCAGAGTCCTGGGCCTCTGTCTCCCCACAAGGGTCTGATACAGTAAGTCTGGTTAGGGCCTAAGAAACTGCCTTTCAAACAAGTGGCTGAATTGTGATGTTCCAGATAGTGTCAGGGCCACCCACTGGGAAGCAGGGTTTAGACTGCAAAACCACCGAATCTGTTCTCCAGGTCTTCATCCTCATATTGATGAGGAGTTTGAAGAGGCAAACATGATCAGATCATTCTGACTGTGACAAATTAAATGGAGAGGGCTATGACTAAGGAAAGGGAAACTAGTTGGTCACTTTCTAATCTAA